GGTTTTGAGAAACCACAAATAGAAACAACAGTTTGTTCTATGTTTGGTTCCATGATTGCTTGTTGCTTTGTTCAAACTGGCAAATACAACCCACTGTGGTACCAAGGTCAGAATTATGGGGTTGCTTGGCAAGAGTGAATCCTGGTGAACTCTTGGCAGAAATTGCATCATTGGGAGAAGAAGGCAAGTTGAGTTTGCACATAGTGGGAAGTGACAGAAGAGAGTTGCAAAAACCAGTAAAAAACCCATTCATTTGTATGAAGAGTTGCTGGAGAATGAAAACATAAGTGGTGGGGATAGAATATATGTGGTCTGGTTGTAGTTTACTTACAGTAGGTGTGTTCAAGTGCTTAAACTCTAATGAAGGAATATCAAGGCTTTAATTTGTGTGGGTTATAAGCTATTGCTATCACAGTTGTAGAGAGGAGTATGTTGCCATGGCTTAGAGGTAAGAGAAAAGTGTTTTACTTATGCAGATTTCAGAGATGCTTATTTCATTAGGGTTTCCCAAACATAGGAGAAATGTAAATAAGGAAACACACACACACACACACACATACACACACATACATATACTGCATTTTTGTTACGGATCTGCTTCGATCTTTTAAGTGCCTAGCAGGATCTCTGGCTTCATGATTTTATTCCATCTATGACCAGAGAGACCTTCCATCCAACCAAAATTCAGAAGGAGCACAACCATGGTGAATTGAACATTACTTTTGTCTCCTAATATGGGACTAATCTAATCTATCCATGATTCAGGCCCAAGTATGAACAGACTAGAAAGTTAAGACAACAACTAAACCCCTCATAAAACATGAATGATGTAATGAGATTGAACAATTAAAGTCTTATTTGAAAGCACTCTAAGAGAACTCAGCTGCAAGTTTCCCTTCTTAGTGCAGTTAAGATGATAAGGGCAACTACTGTGATTGATAGTGAAAGGGTATGCCCTTTCACCTCTTCTTTGCTTAATTTGAAGGGTTCATACAGATCATCAGGCCATAGAGTCCATGCCACATATGCTAGGGTCTGTACTGACATCATCCAGCATTAGTTACACAGGGGAAGCAGAGTAGTACTTTACTGGTCTTGACTAAATGTGTTTTTAAAGAAAAACTGCCTGCCCTTTTTATGAGCACTCACCTGCTAGTCTGATATAACATTGAAAGATGTCTTCTAGCAAAAGAACCAGTCACTGTTTATGCTATGATCACATCAACTACTATATATACCAGTATATAAGACAACTCTTGAAATGGAAAATAGCAAAGCAAAATGTGGGGGTTGTCTTACACATGCAACATATATAAAAAAGAGGAAAAGGATGCAACTTTACAAAAGCATTTGCATGCTTTCGAACTGCAAGGTTGGCAGGAGCTGGGATGGAGCAACGGGAACTCATCCCGTTGGGCAGTTTCGAACTGGCACCTTTCGATCAACCAGCCCAGCAGCACAGCAGTTTAAACCACTGCGCCACCTGCATCCCCTTAAGATAAATAAAAAGTACAAAAAAAGGAGGTGGAGTTGCACTATAAGTAAGAGACACATATATCTGCACAGAAATTCAAGAAAAGCAACTTAATAGCCCCATTTAAAGTATCTGGCTTAATTTAAAGGGAACAAAAATAAGAAAAACATAGTTACTGGCATCTATTACCAAGCACCAAGTCAAAAAGAGGACAAGGATGCAACCTTCAAAAAAGCAACCTGCCAGCATTTCCAAGAAGAATGATATAGTCATCATGGGGGACCTCAGTTTCCCTGATACATGCTGGGAGACAAATTCTGCCAAGCATGGCCCCTCCAAGAGATTCCTGACATGTGTTGCCAACAACTTTCTCCAGCAGAAAGCTATACTCAATTTAATACTAACAGGGATGGCCTGGTGGACAAAATAACAACCATAGGAATTCTGGGGGAAAGTGACTATGTAATACTTGAATTTTCAATTATGAAGGAGACAAAGGGTAACTGGAGCCAAACAAGGAAGCCTTGGACTTCAAGGAAGCCAACTTTAACAATCTCAGAAAAATGATAAGCAAAGTGCCATGGCAACACACTCTTAAGGGGAAAAGTGTCCAAGAGGGATGGGAAATCTTGAAAAGGAAGATCCTCAAAGCACAACTACGAACAATTCCACCAAGAAAAAAGTATAGAAGTCAGCAGAGGAAGCCCACTTGGCTCCACAAAGGGTTAAGTGACAGCCTGAAAGAAAAAATAGACTATGTACAGGAAGTGGAAACAGGGCCAGGCCACGAAAGAAGAATATAAACAAGTAGCAAGGAATAGCATCAGGAAGGCTAAAGCAGAAAATGAACTAAGAATAGCAAGGGATGCTAAGCATAACAAGAAAGCTTTCTTCAGATACATCCAGAACAAAAGACATGAGAAAGAGAAGGGTATCCAGTCACATAAAGTGGATAGCAGAGTGATAACAGATGACAAAGGCAGAGGTGCTCAATTCCTACTTTGCTTCAGTCTTCTCCAACAAGGAAATCTGCAATCAAGAGGAAGTTCAAGCTGGAAGTGAGAGATGCAGCCCAAGATTGACAGACAAATGGTCAAGGAATACCTAGGTGGAATAAGCACTTTCAAATCTCCAGGGCCTGAAGAACTCCATCCCAGAGTCATAAAAGAGCTAGCGGAGGAACTCTCAGAACCACTGGCTATCATCTTGGATAAATCTTGGAAAACAGGAGAAGTGCTGGACAACTGGAGAAGGGCTAATGTTGTCTTTATCTTCAAAAAGGGGAAAAAAGATGAACCTGGGAAGTGTAGACCAGTTAGTCTGAAGTCAATCCCTGGAAAAATTCTGGAGCAAATTATTCAAAAATTCATCTGCAAGCATCTTGAAGAAAATGCAGTGATTAATAGAAGCCATCTTGTCAGACTAATTTAATCTCATTTTTTTACTGGGTAACTTCCCAAATGTACAAAGGGAACACTGTGGACATAATCTACCTAGACTTTAGCAAAGCTTTCAACATAGTGCCACACAACATTTTGATAAGCAAATTAGCAAAAACTGGACTAGATGGAAAAACTATTATGTGGATCCAAAATTGGCTGCTAAATCGGTCACAAAGAGTGCTCATCAATGGCACCTTCTCAAATTGGATAGAGGTAACAATGGGTGCCACAGGGTTCAGTCCTGGGCCCAGTGCTCTTCAACATCTTTATTAATGATTTGGATGAGGAAGTACAAGAAAAGATAATCAAATTTGCAGATGATACAAAACTGGGTGGAATAGCAAACATGCTAGAAGACAGAATGAAGATCCAGGGCAATCTTGATTAACTTGTACACTGGGCTGAAAGCAGCAGAATGCATTCAATAAGGACAAGTCGTCCACATAGGAAAAAGAAACCAAAGGCATCAATACAAGATGGGGAATACGTGGCTTAATAGAACTGAACAAGAAAAAGTTCTTGGAGAAATTGTGGACAATAGGCTAAACATGAGCTAGCAATGTGATGCAATTGCCAAAAGGGCAAATGCTGTTTTGGGGTGCATTAACAGAAATATTATTTCCAAATCATGAGAAGAAGCAGTTCCCCTATACTCCTCATTAGTCAGACATCACCTGGAATACTGTGTCCAGTTCTTGACACCAAGATTTAAGACAGATGCAGGTAAATTAGAAAGGGTCCAGCAGAAAGCAACAAAAACAATCTAGGCTTTGGAAACACTGCCCTTTGAGGAGAGACTGAGGGAACTGGGCATGCTGAGCCTTGAGAAGAGAAGACTGAGGGGGGACATGATATCCCTCTGTAAGTACCTCAAAGGCTGTCACGAAGAGGAAGGTCAAGATCTCTTCTTGCTGATGCCAGAATGTAGGACACGGAATAATCAATTCAAGTTGTGGCAACCCAGATTCAGGCTGGACATCAGGAAAAGCTTCCTTATGGTCAGAGCAATACAATAGTGCAACTCTTCTATGATTCTATGATAAACAGCCCAAAATAGTAACTTTGCCTTTTATGACAATATATACAGGTATTTTTTTGAAACATACTTCCTGGTCATTTGTTCCACATATTGTTACTGCATATATCAGCATATAAGACAAACCTTGATACCAAAAATTGCAAATCAAAAATTGGGGGGCATCTTATACTCCTGACACATGACAAACAGCAGAAAAATAGTCCAAAATATTGACCTTGTCTTAGACACAACTCACGTTATACATCAGTATATACAGTCAATAAAGACATGCAGAAACTCTATGCAGAAAGTAATGAGATCTGGCTATTAATGTGTACTTTACTGCAACAAAATAAACTGCTTCTGGAGTATCCATCAATCTCAGTTCATGCCCAGTTCTCAGAACAAGCTGGGCAAAAAGACCTTACAGTTGAGATTGTATTGGTTCCTCTGCATGCCACACCTCCATTAAGAATTGAAAGGTGTAATTTTGTATTTTGTTTTTAATTACTGCATGCTATCTGAGACTCGTATTTGGGCTGGAAGGCAGAGTAAAATATTTAGAAAAGTAATGTGCAGTGTTAATTTCTGTATCAAGAAGTGGATGACATATGAAGACTTCTTGGTTTCAGATTTATGGAAGTGTTCACGAGGTTTAAAATAGTAAGACTGAAAGCAGTGCCAAATGGTTAATTATAAATGGAGCTCTAGGTTTTTCCCCCCAATGTACATATATATAATTTTGTAAAAATTGTAAAAATCAGACATTTTCCAAAAATCAAGAAAAAATTTATTTATAAATGGTATGTGTTTAGCCCAGAGGTTATAATGGGTTGAGTATAGCTTCAGTCTTTCACAGGTGCAATCGGATCATCAGTTCATAATTGAGCAACCTTTGGTGGGAGAAAGTAATACAGAATAGAAACTACGCTCTTGATACGTTGTAACCATCTAACTGAATATTAGAAAGGTTTGATGGGATGGAGATCTGGGAAGCATTGGACCATAACATAATTTGAAGGAACAATTTATCATGTTAATGTCCTCTTTTTCTTTCTATGTGCAGGTGAAACTGAGCAGGAGTTGGGACCTCCCCCATCTGTGGATGAGGCAGCAAATACACTCATGACTCGCCTGGGCTTCCTCCTGGGAGAGAAGGTAAACGAGGTGCAGGCAGGGCACCAGTACAGCATGGAAGTCCAAGAGGACAATCAGGTGGGTTTATCACCTTCTGTAGTATAATAATGATTTAATTCTGTCTGAAGCTGACATTATACTTGATTTGTAAAATGAGAGGTACTGATTAAGGTTGACCCTCAAAAGCAATGTCTTAAAATCTGAGGTCCATAGGAGATGTTGCTTGCTACATAGTTTAGATATGATATTCAAATCAGATTGTGAAAAACCACATGCTGCTATTGAAACTTTCTTCTGTTTTTCTTGTGAGAGTGGTCTGGCCACAAAAATTGAGGCAACTATCCATGTTTTAAGTTCAAGTAATGAGAAGTTACTGGATTCTTTTAGTTGATGCACTCTAATACAGTGTTGGTGGTTGTTCTGGTTTTGGCCACTAGAGAAGTGCAGATCTTGACACTCTAGGCCATTGATGGCGAACCTTTTAGAGATTGAGTGCCCAAACTGCAACCCAAAACCCACTTATTTATCTCCAAGTGCCAGCACTACAATAAAATCTGAAAACTGAGGTTATAAGTTAGAAAAAACATCTCACAGCCAGTCCAAGCAAATCTATCCATCCATCCTTGGCAGCGGACTGACTGGCCATGTGAAAGCTCAGATAAGTTGCGTCTAATGAGTCACGGCTCGTGAAGTCATCACCTGGCGCCGCTACTCCTTTCCGAGCATGCGCATGGCCCATATGTGTGCTGTTACCTGATGCTCGGCTACTGGGGCGATGCTGGGGCGAGTTGGCTTGTGTGCCGACAGAGAGGGCTCTGAGTGCCGGCTGTGGCAAGTGTGCCATAGGTTTACCACCACTGCCCTAACCCTACCCTGGTGCCCTCCCCTAGCCCCTCCCCTAGCCCTAGGGGTAAAATACTATTGAAAGGGGCGATTTTGAAAAAGCCTTCTTTGAGTAGGTTTTTCTGCACAGCTCATCATTTCTGCCCATTTTAAGCACAATAAAACCTGAAAACTGAGGTTTTAGTTTAGAAAAAACACCTCACAGCCAGTCCCAAGCATGCACACACACACACACATATCTCCTTGGCAGTGCACTGACCGGCCATGCAAAAGCTTGGACAAGTTGCAGCTAATGGGTCGTGGCTTGTGATGTCATTGCTTGGTGCTGCTACTCCTTTCCGAGCATGCGCATGGCCCCTATGTGTGCTGTTATCCTATGCTCAGCTGCTGGGGCGATGCTGGGGTGAGTTGGCTCATGTGCTGACAGAGAGGGCTCTACGTGCCCACTGTGGCACACGTGCCTTAGGTTCGCCACCATTGCTCTAGGCTCTTGGAGTCAGCTTTGAACAGTGAGGAAGAATAGGAGCAGGATTCTTCTGCTTCTTCTTCTAGAGATAGAATCTCTCCTCTGTCTGCCTGAAGCTGGTAATGGACTGGATGACATCCAAAAACAATTGACATTGGATCCGGGCAAAACAGAGGGGGTTGTTGTTGTTATGTGCTGTCAAGACATCTTTGACTTATGGTGATCCTGTGAATGAAAGCCCTCCAAAATGTCCTATTCACAAGAGCCCTGTTCAGCTCTTGTAAATTCAAGGCTGTGGTTTTCCTTATGGAATCAGTCCATCTCTTATTTGGCCTTTCTTTTTCTGTCTTTGACTTACCCTTCTCCAGTGAGCCTTGGTTTCTCATGATATGTCCAAAGCGTGACAGCCGCACTTTTGTCATTTTTGCTTCCAGGGAAAGTTCTGGCTTGATTTGATCTAGGACCCACTTGTCCATTTTTGTGTTGGTCCATTGTATTCACAAAGTTCTCTTCCAGCATCATTGCATCAATTTTCTTCCAGTTCACTTTCTTCACTGTCACTGTCTGTCTTTCACACCCATACAAATTGATCAGGAATCCAAGCGTGTGAATGGCCTTGGCCTCCAGTGAAACATCCTTATATTTGGTTATCTCACTCTTCCTTGAATTCCTTGGCTACAGTCACTCTTTGACTTGGTGACTTGTGTTACATCTTTCACAATTTCTATTTCTTCATTGCTTAACAGTGCAGTTCTGTAATTCTGCAGTCATGAATTTTGTTTTCTTAATATTAGCTTTTGTACTTTCTTCTTTCACTTTTATCAGTTTTCAAGTCATTGCTGCTTTCTGCTAATAGTATGGTATTATCTGCATATCTTCAATTATTGATGTGTCCCCCAGTTTTCATGCCTTCTTCTGATTCTAATCCAGCTTTACTTATGCTTGTCCTGTTTACAGATTGAACAGGTAGGGAGATCATTCTTGTCTGATGCCTTTACCTATGAAAAATTATTCTGTTCCTGCATGCTCTGTTTAACAGTAGCTTCTTGTCCACAATACAGATTTGTCACCAATCCAGTCAAGTGCAGAGGCACACCTATTTCTTTCAAAAACTACACATAGTTTTTTAAGATCCACACCAATGCTTTGCTATAATCTATAAAGCATACACTGATCTTCTACTGAAATACCTTGGTGTGCTTCTGTAACCAACATTTATTTGTGATATGATCTGGGGTGTTTCTTCTTTTTTGGAATCCAGCCTGAATATCTGGCTTTTCTCTTTCCATAAATGGTAAAATTCTTTGTTACAACACATTGAGCATAATTTTGCTTGAATGGGAAATTACCGCAATGGTCTTATACTTCCTGCACTCTTTTGCATTATCTTTCCTGGGGACTGGAATGTATATCAAACATTTCCAGCCTGTGGGCCATTGTTTTGCTTTCCATATTTGCCAGCATATTCTTGTTAGAATTTGAAACAATTCAGTCTGCAGCTTGGAATAGTTCCATTGATATTCTGTCTACTGCAGGTGCTTTATTCCTTCTAATTCATTTCAGAGCAGGTTTCATTTTGCTTTTTAATATTGCAGGCTCTTCTTCACAGGATTCCTCTTTGAAGGGATCTATCCATCTTTTATCTCTTCTGTATAGTTCTTCTTTATCTTGTTTCCATCTTCTCTTTATTTTCACCTGGTCAGATAGTATGTTCTCTTGTCTGTCTTTCAGCATTCCTACTCTAGGTTTGAATTTCCCTTTGATTTCTTGGATCTTGGACTGAAGCTCAATCCAGACAAGACGGAGGTCCTGTTGGTGGGTGGTTTGGGCTTTGGGATGGGAGACTCGGGCCTTGTCCTAAATGGGGTTGCACTCCCTCTGAGGGACAGAGTTCGCAGCTTGGGAGTGCTCCTTGACCCTGAGCTGTCACTAGAAGCTCAGGTGACGGCGGTGGCAAGGCGCGCCTTCCTTCAGCTTCGGCTGATCCATCAGCTGTGTCCCTTCCTGGAGAACGACTGCCTGGTGACAGTGACACACACGTTGGTAACTTCCCAATTAGACTTCTGTGACGCGCTCTACGTGGGGCTACCCTTGAAGACGATCTGAATACTTCAATTGGTGCAGAATAGAGCTGCCAGGTTGCTGACGAGGACTGGGCGTTGTTCTCATATAACCCCAGTTCTCCGTCAGCTTCACTGGCTCCCGATTAAAGTCCGGACCCAATTCAAGGTGTTGGTTATGACCTATAAAGCCTTCAATGACTTGGGACCTGGTTATCTAAAGGAACACTTGTGTCCATATATGCCCTTCCGCCCCTTGAGATCGGCAACAGAGGCCCTTCTCTGGGAACCCTCTGTGAAAGATATTAGGAGGGTGAATACCCGGAGGAGGGCCTTCTCTGCGGTGGTGCCCCACCTATGGAATGCGCTCCCCAGAGAGGTCTGCCTGGTGCCGTCGTTATTTGTTTTTTGGCACCAGGCTAAGACCTTTTTATTTAAAACTTATTTTAATTGTTAACCTATTATATATTTATAGGATTTTAAATTTTTAGCTGAGATGTTACCAGGCTTTTTAATCTTTAATTGTATTATTTGTTATTTATATGTTTTAATTATGCTGTGAGCCGCCCCGAGGCTTTGTTGCGATGGGGGCGGCATAGAAATGTTTTAAATAAATAAATCTTCTGGAAGAGGTCTCCTGTTTTTTCTCTTTTGTTGTTCTATTTCTTTACATTGGTCATTGTAATAATTCTTTTTTTTCTCTATGCGATAGTTGCCAAAAGTTGCATTCAGGATTCTGACCTCATTCTTATAACTTTTTCCTTTAGCTTTTCATCTGTCCTTGGCAATTGTGAATATTTCTTATGTTATCTATCTATCCAGGCCTTTTCTTTCTTTTTGCTACAAGAATTGTCTTTTGAAATTCCTCCCTAATAATATGTATAATTTGAGTTCACAGTCCTTCTGACCCATGGTCAATTAAGCAAATCTGTTCTTTATGTGGATATTAAATTCTTCAGGAATGTTATTGAATGTGCATTTTGGCACGATGTCTCTGTTAACAGTCTTTTTCAGCTTTACTCTGATTTTAGATATTAAGAGTTCGTGGTCACTACTGCAGTCTGCTCCTGGTCTTGTTTTGGCAGAGAGAATACACTTCCATCTCCTGATCCAGATATATAACTTATTTGATTTCTGTATTGGCTATCTAGTGATGCCCATGTATACAGATGACTGAGAGGTTTCTTGAAGTATGTATTTGCAATGAACAGATAGTTGGCTTTACAGAATTCTTTAAGTTCTTCCGGCTGCTTGCTCACGCAGAGATTGTTTTAGACTTGCTCGGAGAAAACGATCTCTGTGCAAGCAAGCCATTGCCTCGCTGCACACACCGACCCCGCCTTGCCTTGCCTCGCCGTACACACCTCCCCACCTTGCCTCGCCACACGCGCACCCCCCGCCCCCTCACCAGTCTGCACCCCCCACCCCCTCATGGCCCAGCCCGCGCCCACCGCTGGCACCTTTCATCTGGCCCCCTGTTGAAAAAGTTTGAGGACCCTTGCTCTAGGTCAAATTCCCCTAGAACATTTGATTCTTCTTTATTCCCTACTTTTGCATTCCAGTAACCTAGGGTTACAATATGTCTTGTTTTGGTGTGCTATGAACTTCTTCTGGAATACCTGCATACAAATTTTCCATTTCCTCTTCTTCAGCATCTGTTACACTGGTCTACAAGGAGAAAGAAATGAAAGTAGCTAAATTTTACCAGAATTGGGTCACCTGTTTTTTAAAAAGATGCAGAAAAGCTAGAAAGTCTGATGTGATTTCTTCAGAGCTTGGCAGTGTCATTTGTTCCCACATGTATAAGAAGGAAGGAATACACATCAGTAGGCTGTGTGAGCCTTGACAGTCTTTCAGTTACACGAATAATTTGTCCTCCAGGGATAAGCATACCTGGCAATTCCATGGGTTTTCCATCCCATGCAACAGGGAGTCTTCAAGTTTTGAGGTGGCTAGATGGAGGGGAGGTGGTGGATGTGGTTTACTTGGATTTCGACAAGGCCTTTGACAAAGTTCCACATTATATCCTGATTGAGAAATCGAGGAGTTTTGGGATAGACCAATGCACTGTCCAGTGGATTAGGGCATGGTTGACTGACTGAAAGCAGAGGGTAACCATTAGTGAGGAATCATCAGGATGGTGGCCAGTGACAAACAGGGTCCCCCAGAGCTCTGTTTGGGACTGATTCTGTTCAATCTTTTCATCAACGACATGGAAGAAGGGGTGAACAGTCTGCTGATCAGATTCACAGTCGATACTAAAACGGGGGCAGTGGAGAACAGCACTCGTGAAAGGGAACTTGAAGCCCTGATTGACTGCAGGCTAAACCCTTGGTTGCATAGCCAGAAGCATTGCTTCTAGATCGAGAGAGGTATTAATACCACTCTATACGACTGGTGTGCCTGCAACTGGAGTATTGTGTTCAGTTCTGGGTCCCTCATTACAGGAAGGATATAACCAGGTTAATGTCAGTGCAACATAGGGCCACAAGGATGGTGGCAGGATTGCATTTGGGAATATACTTATTGCTTTATACACACTGGGTTGCCCAGCAAGGAGAAACTGCAGCTGATCAGGGAGGGAGAAGAGGAGACAAGCATTAATTAAATGGTCTTGGGAGTGGAAAAAGGACAGTCTAGAAGAGATGACAAAGGTGAGTAATAAAGAAGTAGAGGAAACAGATGAGAAACAATGGAAGAGCCATCAGTAGTAGGTATAGAAATGGAGTTCTGGAGTAGAAAGAAGGAAAGCAGTGTGCATAAAAAGCCAACATGAACAACAAGGAGAAAGCGGGGATGAGGGTCAAATTGACTGGAGGAACACCGGACCAATATCAAGCGGTGGTCTAAGGAAATTATTGTAGAAAAGAAATGACTGGAGGCTACAGAGGAGGTCTGAATGAGAAAGACGGAAAGCAAAGGCAGAACAGTTAGGAGGGGATTGGAAAACAAAAAAGAGTAGTGAGTACTTGGAGGTCAACCTCTGAAATGAGAAAGAAGAGAATGTATAAAAGTAAAGAAGGAACCAAAGGAACTGTTCCCTGCATAATCTATGATATATCTGAGTGATGCGGTGAGAGAACTGGATTCAGAAAAACAGTTCACGTTTAACTACCCAGAGAGCTTTGGTTATAACAGTAACAATAGCAAGGTCAATAACAATAAATCAATGGATCTTTGTAAGGGATCTGTGAGAATCTGTCACATTGCCTGGGCTTGGCTTCCTAGACTTTGGACCACTTTACAGCAGCCCAGAGTCCAAGTGTGTGGTGATTGCACAAATATACAAGCACACGCAGCAGCTTCTTTGTGCTGCTAAGCTTGTGCTCCTTGCATGTGTTTGTATGTGTGTGAAATGCTGCTGTATGTGTACAATGAGGCAGAAGCTGCCACAGCTTCAGTATAATTGTAGTCTCTGGATGGGTGTAATGCTAGTAGTGATCTGCTCTGTGTCTCTTGAGATTTCCCTTTGTTAATTTGATTTGCACCTTTGAAAGAAAAGTGTTTTCATAGGATGCTACTTTAGAGCTTGTTGTTTGTGCAGTCCCACTATACTTAGAACTCTTCACTTTCTCCTGTCGCTTTGAGAGTGGACATCTGCCAATCAAACACTCTCACTTTTCTTTCCAGCAGTTTTCTTTCCAGCTTGCATTTATTGCAGGTGTGTACCATGTAAAACTCAGGCAAGTACACAAACATTGCACATATTTTGCAAATCACTACCACTGGAGACTGCTTTTCATACGCTGTGTGTTATAGAAAAAGAATGGGAGAAATGATGAGATTTAATAAGAGGCATTTGTCTTGAGCTGCTCAATCAAGGGCAGATGTATCTGCTGCTCAAAGTAATCTCTTCTCACTTCCCAGAATTCCTCAGATGCATGCAGATATTCCCCACCTTAAACAAAAGAATAAGGTTAATAATATTACTATTTTAACTGTAGAACAAAGGCTATAAGATAGAAAAGTAAATATGTTAGGGAATGATTTATGTTGACTAGCCAGCTAATTCAAACTATTTTCAATTTGGAGTTGATCGTTAAGAATCTGGCCAATTTGGATCATAAGCTGCAACTCCAGTAATACAACCCAGTGAGGAACAGAGTAGGGATAAAGATATGCTGTTGAATAGCCTGGAGAGAGTTATAGGAATGTCTGCTTATCCAAATGCTTTAGCATTGAAATCATGTGAGGTTAGAGTATTATCTATTTCTTATAGATTAAAAATCAAAGGGTCTGATTAGTGATTTACATTGTAAGAGAATTCTTTTAACTTGAAGTAGTTGTAGGAATACAGCTTTGATTATGAAGAAAGAATGCCCAATTAGCCTACAAAAAGTGGTCCCTCTTGGCATTTTGATGTTAAAGTAGACTTCCACTTGCTCCTGAAAGGGAACTTTTTGTTGTACATCATTCAGAGAGGCTATCAGTAGTTTTTGCTCAATAAGACTTAACCTGAAATTGGCAGATGCTTTATATTCAGGTGCTAAAGTAATGGTTCATTGGTTAGACAAATATACAAATACTGTAAACATAATAATAATGTGGGACAGTCCAGTTCCCTATTCCATTCCTACTTAAGACCCTATGTATCATATTTACCCATCAAGAATAAGTATTTATAAACATGGATCGTGGGTTGATATAACTGATCAGTCTCAATAAGAGCTTCCAATGTTGGAGGACTTTGAAGCTGTAAAAGCAGCAGGGCCAGACTCAGATTCTCACAAATGGTGTAGTTGCACGACTTTCCATTTAGCATAGTAAAATTGTATTTGGTACACAAATGAGAGGTCCCAATCTCAGTGACCCAGCACAAGAAAGAGTTTTTCACTTTTTCAGTGCTCAGCAGGTTCTCTTTCTCACTGGAGTGATGAGCTTTTCCATACCTGGGGAAAGGGACTTGGGCCTATGGAAGAAGCTGGTGAGCCAGATAGGGAACCTCTATATTGTTGTATTTGGTCGGCAGGCTGAAGGTCTCCTTTGCCTGATCTACAGAAGAACCCATTCAAATTACTAATCAGGACAATAATATATAATAAGCTTAATAAATACTTATTCTACAAATATTTGATCATACTGTTGTTATTCCACTAAATGTTAGTTATGTTTCAGCTGTATTTTTTATGGATAAAAGGTATAGGAAGTAAAATTATACCAAAGAAGTACTGGATCTAGTTGAGTTCCTGTTTCCCCCAGGTTAATATTAGCTGCTCTAAGGAGTATTTTTACAAACATACAATTTCAGTGGTTTCTTATCCCACATTTATATCTTTGAACATGTTATGCTAAGCAACTTTTAAACATATATTATGAATGCAACCTGTTGTGCAGTATTTCTGCTGAAAAATACTCTAAATAACCATATGATGGGATACTTAATACCTTATAACAGAAAAGTATTTTTTCTATACTATTTGAAAGGAAAGTAAACCATACCCAACTAAAGGTAGCAATGAATTTTTGCGGCTAAAATACATGAGATATTCCTGGAAGAAAGTAGAGAATACATTGCTTAAGAGGATAGGGTCTGTTGCGCTAATAACAAAAATGATGCAATTTATGAGGGACAGGAGTAATTCATTGGCAGATTTATTCAAAGCTGGATGTCATTTGCAATATGCTGGAATGATAGGTTCCAAAATAATAGTTATCTTTATGTGTGCTGTGTTTTCTCTTATATAGTTTTTGTAATCTCTCTTTTTCTTTGGTTTTACCAGTATCTTTTGTACTTAAAAAAATAATTATGAATATTCACCTTCTTCAGAGAGTCTAAGTGAATTCCTTTTGTTTTATTTGAAACAGATAGACTTAAGTTTTTTTTTTAAAAAGAGCCAATACTTGTGAAACACAATGCAAAAATGGAACTTTAGGTCATTATTGGGCAATGACAGTGTCATTCCCAGATACAGTACACTTCCAGGTTTGCTATAAATAATACCCTGATTTTACTGTTTTCAGCCTGTGCTAACCCCTGGCTTTTGTTAAAAGAATGTGAGTTTAGTAAATTCTATACCTAGCAGTATAAAAGGTAGGATTTTTTTTTTGGTCTGTGGAAGTGTACATCATTTTAGATCCAGTATTTTATCCAGAACAAGATTCAATAGCATACTGTATTTGCTAGTATGTCATGTGTATTCTTGATTATGCACCAGTTAGGTGCTTGTGTGCTTTGGTAATTGATTGTGGGAGTTATTTGGTTCTGTTTCCAATTCTAGACCTCAGCAGTATCCCAGCGAATAAGTCCCTGTTCAACACTGACCAGCAGTACTGCTTCACCACCTGCCAGCAGCCCTTGTTCCACCCTTCTTCAAACTAGTACAAAGGATGTTATGGCAAAGGACTGCAGTTATGGAGCTGTCACAAGTCCCACTTCCACCCTGGAAAGCAGAGACAGTGGCATCATAGGTGAGTTGTGTTCTTTGACAGGACCAGTCTGTTTTGCAGTTGTGAAATATGGCTGGTTCGTATCATGGAATGTTGAGGTGAAACAGATTAAACATTAGGAATTACAGATAACTTGTAAATGTCTAGTGTATGTATGTTTCATCAAGATACCAACCTGCCTTCCTCTCTGAGGGATAAGTGTGTGTGTTCATCATTCAATTATTTATTGTAACTTCTAATCCTACTTTTCCATCTGAAGATACCCAAGGTAGCTAGCAATATAAAATAATGAAAAATCAAGCCAAATTCATAATGGCTAGAAAATGAACCAATTAAATCAAGCACAATGGCAGATAAAGTACCATAACAGAGCAATTGGATCAAGATATTAAGTGCCTGCTGACATAGACAATAACAGCAACAAATGTTAAAGAAGGCATCAAGTGGATCTCCTCACCAAAAAGGAGGCCACTCTCCACCCTACCCCCCCCCCCCCAAATGTTCCAGGGAACTTTAAATAAAATCAAAACAATAACATCTAAAGCAGCATAAAAATAACTAATTCCAGGTGTGAAACAGGAGGATAATAGGAACAACAAAACCAACAATATAACTAGCAAATAAGGCCATAGTTCTAAAAGCATGTACTAAATAAGGGTCTTTACTTGGTAGCAAAAACAGAATGACAAGGGTGCCAGTTACACCTGTTAAGAGAGTTTTAAAGATGAGGTGTGATAACAAAGAAGGCTTTTTTTCTTGTCAATTCCCCCCTTACTTCAAGGTGTGGGGGCTCAAAAAGGAGGGCCTCTGCTGAAGATATGAGTGATATATGGAAACAGGTGTTCCTTTAGATATCACAGTCCCAAGATGTTTAGGTCTTTGTATGTTAGCATAAGCACTTTGAATTGGCTCCCAGGCCAGGAAGCCAGTGCAGTTGGTAGAAGACCTGCATTGGATTAATTGAAGTGCCTCGACCATCTTCGAAGGCAGCCCCACATGGAGTGCACTACAGTAATCCAGGCAAGACGTTATCAGTGCATGGATAACTGTGGCAAGGCTCTGCTCATCCAAGTAGGGACATAGCTGGAAAAGCAGCTGCACTGATAGATGTTCCTGGCCACCGAGGCCGCCTGCAAAACAAGTGACAGCTTGGGGTCCAGGAGCACCCCCAAGCTATAAACCTTATTCTTTAGGGGGAGCACAACCCCATCTGGGATAGGTTGAAAATCTCCCAGTTGGGCAGGCAGACTGCTCACCAGCAGTACCTCCGTCTTGTCTGGATTGGGCTTCAGCATATTGGCCCTCATCCATTCCATTACCAAGCCAAGGCACCAGTTCAGAACAGTCACTGCCTCATCTGGATTGAATGAAAATGAGAGGTAGAGTTGAGTGTCCTCAGCATAATGGTGACACTTCAGCCCAAACCTCTGAATGACCTTTCCCAGGAGTTTCATGTAGATGTTAAATAGCATGGTGGACAGAATAGAGCCCTGTGGGACTCCATGACAGAGGTGCCATGGTGCAGAGCAACAGTCACCCAGCTCCACCAATTGTGAGTGGCCAACCAGGCAGGAGTTGAGCCACCAGAAAGCGGAACCACCAAATTTGCTTGAGCACCTTGCTCAGGAAGGGAATATTGGCTATAGGCCGATAATTATTTACGTCTTCTGGATTCAAATGTAGCTTTTTAAGGAGTGGTGTAACCACCACTGTCTTTAGAGGGGCAGGCACTACTCCCTCTCTCAAGCAGGCATTCACCATCTCCTGGATCCAGGGAATCCCCTCCATTGATCTCTCAATTAGTCAAGATGGGCAAAATCATTCTACTGTATTCTGTGCTTTTAGGCTGCATTTGGACTATTGTGTCCAGCTCTGGGCATCCCACTTTAAGAAGGATATTGACAAACTGGAACATGTACAGAGGGGAACAACCAAAATCGGGAGGGGCCTTGAACCTCAGTCCTGTGAAAAATGATTGAAAGAAATTGGCATGTTTAGCCCGAATAAGAGAAGATTAAAGGGGATTATAATGGTCTTCAAATATCTGAAAGGCTGTCAAGTAGAACATGAAACTGAGTTGCTCTTTATTACTCCAGAAGACAAGAGCACAGCTGATTTCATAGGCTCTTAGGGAAGGAGGGGCTTGATGGTCAGGGAAGGAAGCTGATGTGGTCAATAGGGATCCCTTCCCTGTCTCAGAAATGCATAGGAAGAACCATGCTGGATTAGATCATTGCATTAGACCAATGATTCATCTACTCCAGCATTCTGTTCACACAGCAACCATGCAGTTGCTCATTGGAACCCACAAGTGGGAGACAGGTGCAAGAGCATCCTCCTGCCCATTTTCCCAGGAATTAGTAAGCATAAGTATACAGTCTCTGATACTGGGTGCCTTGTTAGCATTATTCTCCATTAACCTGTTCAACCCCCATTTAAAGCTATCCAAATTTCCAGGCCTATTGTTTGCTTGAATGCCAATTTTGAGAGTTTCTATCTGGTGCTGGGAACATGGAGCAGACTAGAAAAACCCTGGTTGCCAGTCACTGACATCCTCTTCTTGGGCAAGATGTTCAAGCTTGTGGTTGCTAAATAAGCATGCCACCTCATGCCTACAGCTGCGCAGATCCTTAGGTCATATTCAGAGGCCCTTCTCTGAGTGCTTTCTGAAAGAAACTATAACTGGGTGGCTTCAAGAAAGGTAGTCTTCTCAGGGGTAACACCCAACTTATGAAATAAACTCTTAAAAGTTGGCAGCTATGTTGTTACCCTTTGAGTGCCAGGGGAAGCTTTTCTTTTCTCCCAGCATTTAGAGACCTAGCTCTAGTTTATACAGGCTATTTTGATTCCTGTGCTTTTCATTGCTTTATTGTATGTTATTTTTTATTTTTATTTAACTGTGCTTACACGGTATTTTAGAGCTTAACTGATTGTAATTTGCCCAGATAACATTAGTTTGGGGTTGAATAGATATATATTAAACAAATAATGCATTACCAGTAAGAGGAAGTTGCAAGGAACCAGTGCTTTGCTAAATAATGGAAGAAATGCCATAATATTGTGGGCTGTTGGGAGTAGAACAGATTACCTCAGGAAATGGTGAGTTCTCCTTCACTTGGAGGTATTTAAGCAAAAAGAATTAGGAATTATGTGGCAGCTGCATCCTGCAGAGAAGTAGGGAGTCAGGAAATGAATCCAACCTATATTTCAATTCTGTGATAGGAAGACCAATATGGGTAAAATAAAACATCCACCTGTGATATTACAGCACATATGGTGAGTATATTTTTGCATTTTCAGCACCATAGTAGCATTTTCTGATGCCGCTGCTAAAACATATAAGACATTTATTCATAGAAAAGCAATTGCCTGATTACTTTGCTATGGGAAGAGTTTTATTTTCCTTAAAAATAAACAAAACCCTTAAGTACCATTTTGTCTATATTTGTTTTTGCTTCAGTCAATAAATTCCTAGCATTTTCAACCATCAGGCAGTGAACTAGATTACCAAATATTTGTTTCAGTGTGGAAAATATATTTCTTCTAACCCAGCATGATTCTCTTGTTAAACAGCATTTCTTTGTCCAGAGGTTCCATTGGAGAACTTCATTCTCAAAGCAATAATCATGACTTGGGACCTTTCCATTAAGATCATTTGAAAGTTGCATTCAAATTCTTCCTAGATGAAATAATCTGCTTTTTCTTACCAGCATCTTGGTATGTCCAGCTTTCAAATCACTCCAAATTTGCTGCAACTTCTTTCTTGTTTTTTAAAAAATATAAATCTGTTTTTAAAAAGTTCCTGAGTGTTGAATAGTAAAGGAAAAACAAATCAATACATCAAGTGTTACCAATAAAACTAGTAATTTAGGAAAGCCTTATGTAGTAAATATATATCTCGAAAATGCCAAAAAGCAAAGCAACTTTTTCTTGCCTGGTATCAACTAGCATGGAATTCTAGGGAGGAAGAACCAGTACACCAAAAGTATATTTCTAGTGGATTATACATGGAGTTCAGGTTCACACAGAACCTCATTCAATGACCTCAGTGATCAAGCAGGCTAATAAGTGAGAAGGCAATGCTTCAGATAGCTTTGCCCCAGATCATTTAGGGTTGTATACCCATAAAATTCTTAAACTTGCCAGTGCAGTTCCTTCAGTGTTGGTGTTACATGCCAGAAAGAGAGAGCTCCTGGAGACAGATGAGTAGCTGCACTTGGCTCGCTCGCGCGCGCGCGCGCGCTCTCTCTCTCTCTCTCTCTCTCTCTTTTATAGAATGTTCAATTATTGCCAGTGTGGGTTGTTGTAGTGTACAAATATACCTATTGGCCCTTGAAAATTGTTCTGATTGCCGTAGAGACCTGTATACTTTTCTTAGCCAGTGTGGCCAATGACCAGGAAAACTGGGAGGTCTAAGTCAAAACATCTGGAGGGTATCAGATTGGAAAAGGCTGTGTTTTATGACCTTTGTAGCCTTTCTGTTAGTTTACATATGATGGACTCATTGTATTCCTCAAACTGCAAATATATATTTGCACCCTCACCTAATCTGTTATATGAAAACTTCCTTTTCTGTGGAAGAATAACTGCTCTATTTCAGAAGTCATCAACTTAAATGTATAGGTTATGTTTGGAATATGGGTGCAAATACATATCTCAGTTAAGATGGCTGGGTTTTGACCTGGAGATTATACCTATAGCTTGTGCTAAATCTTTGGGTGCATCAGGAAAGGATATAAGTGATGTACCTCATGCCTTGCTCTTCTGTTGATCCCTTCACTCACTGGAGATTTCAGTTTGCCCCACAGGAGGCAGAAAAAGAGAGTGGAGGGAAAAACCAGCCAAGTAGAAGGCAGGGTGTTCAGTCTGTCAGAGGGTGTCTAAAGCAATGTTACATTGTTAAACTTCAGAAATTCAGTAATGAAGTCACATACTAAGTTCTTCTGGGTTTTTTTCACTAATATTTGAATATTAGTAAAAAATTCAAAATTTGAATTCAAATTAACTGCTTTGTTTGTCACTCATGTTCTTCTTTTTACCTGTTACAGCAACGTTGACAAGCTATTCTGAAAATATGGATCGTGCTAAGTATGGAGGAGAAAGCAGTAAAGAAATAGGATCTGGTGGAAACCTGAAGCCTTGGCAGTCTCAAAAATCTAGCATAGACTCTTGTTTATATCGAGTAGATGAAAATATGACAGCCTCTACATACAGTTTGAATAAGATCCCTGAAAGAAACCTAGAGACGGTTTTATCCCAATCAGTACAATCTATTCCACTCTATCTTATGCCACGACCAAACTCTGTAGCAGGTAAGAAATTCTCATTCTTTATTATGAAGAATTATAATTAAGTTCACATTAGGATCTTGTCCTTTAACATTTATAAAACCCTACTAGAAGCTAAGGAGCCAAAATAAGATTTCACAGAAGACTGTTTGCAGTAGTACAGATCCTAATCTACTGTCATTACTCTTTCTTCAAGGAACAAATTTGATCTGACCTGGTTGTGCCTCTAAGTGAACATTTGTATGGACTATTCAGCAGTCCTAAATTGATGAGCACTCCATGGAAGAATTCCTCAGTTGCAGAAATATATAATACCTTGTTGGATGAGTTTCTGAAAAAAATACAGACCCTCATAGTTCTTCTATGACTTGGAATGTTAAATAAGATAATGTGTACTGGGACACAAGAGACAAAGATTACATTTTCCCAAATGCCTCATATTAAATGCAAATTACAGCATTTGCAATTGCAAACACAGAGGCTTTTCAAGAGAAGTCTTTTGTCTCATCATAAACTAATGTTAGCATCCCACCTCAGATTGAACAAAAATGTATTAATAGGTCAGATGCTCTGAGGGATGCAGATTAGAGCAGGCCATCATCAGAACCAGCTCTATCAGTTCTTTGTTGTGGTCTCTGTGCATCACAGATATGTTTGGGAAGATTTCCTTAGCTTAGAACTTTCCACTGAGCGCCCCCCCTCCGCCCCATATAAAAGGTGGACTCCTGCCATTTTGTCAGCTTTTGACTGCTGTTTGTCAGTGCATTGGGATCTCTAACATTTGTTGCCTTTTTTCTTCACACTTCAATCATACTTTTCCAAACTTTCCTTAAACTTTTCTATTTAATTCTTTTGTTTACCTCAAAAAACCTCCGATTACCACCCAATCGTCTATTTCTTTGAAAATACCTTCTTATCCTCTCCCTTCCCTCACAACCATTAAACCCTTCACTCCCAATAAAAATGATGATGATATAATAATAATAATAATAATAATAATAATAATAATAATACAACGTAAACCTTCTGTCATCGTATTCTCTCTGTATCTATTCTTATTCTTCCCCTTCCGATGTTGCTTAGCAAACTGGCCTTCAGAAAGTGTGCTGGCTGCAGAGTCAAAATGCCCTCTTCTGATGGGCACTCTTTCTGCCCCTTCTGCCTTGGTGAGGAACATTGAACAGACAAAGTGCCAACACTGCCAGGCATTCAATAAACAGGCATGTAGAAATAGAGCTGGGAGGCTCCGGATGGAGATGTGGGAGTGGGCTTTGGGCACGATGAGAGATGTTGCTGTGGAAGGAGGTCCATCTCCTTCAACCTCAAAAGAAGCCTCAAGGAAATGCCCTCCCACTGACACCTCTGCTAAAACTACCCCCCCCCCCCCGTCCAACATGGAGAATTGGAGGAACCAAGGAAAAAGAAGGAGAAATGTAAACATCTCCAAAGTCGTTGGAACTGAAGAGCGGGGCAAGAAGACCAAAGGCCATACCAAGCATTCTGAATGTCACAGTTCTGTGATTTCAGAACAGAGGTCCAAAGAGGTCACTACCATCTCAGAACCAACATCTCCAGCCCAAGAGGCTCCAATCTGACCTCTACCAAGCCAAGCCTCTCCAGGCTGACACTTCCCAGCCCAAGAGGCTCAGCATCATTCACCCACACCAATGCCATCTGAACACAGTCTGCAAATGGAAAGACCAGCTGATTCTTGGACATCAAAATCAGAGATTCTCCGGCTCCTTCTCAGCCAAGATCTTTGCCCAGCTGACAGGATCTACCTGATGCCATCCCCTTGACTCAGCGCTTGTCCCGTGGTCCATCTTCCATGCAGCCATCTCCAGTGTCTTTACATTGATCACTCTCAGCTATGGATCCACTCCAACATCCATACTGTGGACAACCCTACTGGTACCCAGCTCCAGGACAATACTATCCCGAGTATCCTTGGGACCCGATGGCAGATCCTTGTCGATACGGCTGGCCAGCTCCACCTATGACTGCTCATTGTTCTTGGTTACCACCAAGTCCCATCCATCAACAAGAATGGGAACTCAGCACATCTCAACAGGAACAGCATAAGAGATTTTCTTCCCTGTCTTCTGGCACTGACTCTACAGAAATGAACTATGTGGATTCTGACACTTCTGAAGTGGCCAAACTGGTCTCCACATCCCTGGACAACGTGATTTCAATTAAGGGTCAGGGATCTACAGGAGAAAGTCTTGGGCACTTTTCTAAACAGGTCCTCCTTATGGCAAAGTCTCTTGGAATACATGTCCAACAATCAACCGAACAGACTGAGGATATAGTCTACAACCTCATCCGTTTGGAGGATGCCGTTCAGAGGATCTGTTCAACAGCCATTTATACCAGCCCTATCAAAGGGTTTGAAAGAGCCCTGGGAGATCCCTAACCACCCTCATTGGACATCACGCCATCTCAAGGGGATGTACAGAATCCAGGAGCAGGATATTCTGTTTTTGCTCACCTGAACTCCCATGTTCATGAAGTCAACTCAGGGAAGGCAACGATGCAATCATAGTGCACTGACTGACAGGGAAGGTCAATGCCTTGATGTGATGGCGTGCCACATCTACTTGGCAAAGGGTCTGGACAATTACGAGTCAATGATGGGGAGGTACCAAGCCTTCTTATGCCAGAAGATAGAGGCTCTGGCAACTTTTCTCCCAGACCAGCATAGGGAACTTGCCAGAGTCTTCCTAACTGAGGGCATGTAGCTGTTCAAACAAGCTGCTCCCCACCATGTCAGTTGTGATTTGTGCGCCCTAGTCAGTGTGGTAGCCTTTGTTGACCTGCATGGCTTCAGGTGACAAATCTTCCGCAAGAGCCACAGTCCTGAATACAGTTGATGCCATTTGACGGAGAGGGCCTCTTTCATGCTCAAACTGATGAATGTCTGGACACCATTCAGAAGGTGAGGGTGACTGCTTGATGGATGGGGATTGGGTTCCATCCATCTCAATAATGTAAGTGGCCACAGAATGATCAAACTCCGTATTATGCACCTTCGGGTAGTCAACAACTTAGTAGCCAAAGCTGCCAATTTTTGGCTGTACCCAAGGCCACCCACACAGAAGGGACACACTTCTAGAGCCCAGCCAACCAAGGGGCACCCAGAAGGGGATAAGAGACATGATGGGTGGTGCGAACCAGCCCTCTAGAATTGACCTACTGCCAATTTGGAGACCATTTGAGCCGTCATGCACCTACCTGTAAATCTTTCACATATGACCAGTGGGTGCTTTCTATCATAAGAGATGGCTACAAAATCTAGTTTGAGACCCTACCACCTTTCAGATCAGTCCACACAACTCCTCCATCTCCTACTCTGAGGAAAGAGACCACCTTTTCACTAGCAAAAGGGGCCATCCACCCAGTGCACTGTTCTGATCTTAAACATGGGCTCTACTCACAATATTTTAGGGTACCAAAGAAGGATGGTGGTTGGCGGCCAATACTAGAAGAGGAAACCATTACATTGCTCATAAGAAATTTCATATGGTTTCTCTTCAGTCTATAATGCTGCTGCTAAAGGAAGGGGACTGGGTCACCTCCATTGATTCGAAGGACACTTATTTTCACATTGCCATACTTTCTAACTACTGGCACTTTCTACTCTTTAAGATTGGAATGGAGCCTTACGAATTCATGAAGTTGCCATTCAGACTCTCCACTGCTCTGAGAGTGTTAGCTAAATATATGGCACTGGTGTGTGCCCCTTGAAGACTCAGAGGCATACACATTTACCCTTACTTAGATGATTGACTGATCGTGGCAGATTCCAAAGAATCTCTAAGTACATAAACAACACTTGTCTTGCATTGGAGAACTTGGGCTTATATATTAATGTAGAGAAAACCATTCTTGTTCTTGCACAGACCATTCTCTACATTGGAGCAGTGCTGGACTCTCAGTCAGCTGAGGCATATTTACCCAAAGACTGCATGGACAAACTGGTGCGCATGGTGTCAATGATCAGGTGCAACCTGAGAGTGTGGGCATGATGAATCCAGCAATTAGTTGGGCGTATGGCCTCAACTGTGTCTGTGGTGCAGTTCACCAGACTGCGTATGCAACCTCTGCAGTTATGGTTCCTAACTCCTTCCATCTGGAACACATCTCTCCATGAAAGTAGCCCACTGTTCCGATCATGGTACATGCAAGCCTCACATGGTAGACTTGAGAAACTCCTCTGTCTCGGGGCTTGCCATTCCAACTGGTGGCACCCACTTCAAAGGATTCATGACTCAAGGAGCATGGTCTGCTATGGAACAGAGATGACATATCAACTATTTGGAATTGTTGACAATCTTCAAAGGACTGAATCTTTAAAGCGTCCTCTCTGAAAACAATGCCCAGGTTGTTTTGGACACCACAGTGGTGTTTTGTATCAACAAACGGGAATGAAGCTGCTGTCTTCCTGCATGTCTGGATATCAAAATTTAGGATTGGTGCATCATTCACAACATTACTCTCATTACTCTTACATGGCCAGTGTGGACAATACCACCACAAGTGCCCTGAGCCACTCAGTACACCAGCCACATGAGTGCGAATTCAACCAGCAAGTTCTGAGAGACATTTTCAAATACTGGGGCCTGCCAAGAGTTGGACCTGTTCACTATGGAGAGGAATGCAATATGCAAGCATTACTGTTTGAGAGGAGGAATCAGGCACTGCTTGAAAGGGAATGCCTTCCACATGCCATGGAACGATGCCTACTTTTACGTCTTCCTGCTGTTTCCCCTAATCACAAGAACCATCACAACGATAAGAGCTTATCATACTCAAGCCATCTTGGTAACTCCATGGTGGCCAAGACAACCGCGGTTCCCATCACTTCTGCAACTTTCAACGATGTCTCCAAACATCTACCTCAAATACTGAACTTGCTGACTCAAGCTTATGGGAGCATCGTTCACTCTGATGTTCATACCCTTTGATTAACCTCATGGTTAATCCTGTGACGGTGCTTTCAGTTGTCCCACTGACTTCAGTTT